AATGAAATTACAGAAGGGTACCTGTCACTGTGGGTTTAATTGTGCCCCTTGAAAGATATGCTCACAACCAAACCCCCATACGTGTGTGACCTAAAATGAAGACAATTTCTTTGAAGATGTACTTATATTCAAGATGTACAGTAAAAATCATCCTAGAGTATCCTAGCGGATTCTAAATCCAATGCCTATGTCCTTGTGAGAAAAGGAAGATGGAAATTTGGGGCACATGGAGATGCAGAGGGAGGAACATGATGAGGGGTCAGAGGCAGAGGCTAGAGCCATGCTTCTACAAGCCGGGGAGCACTACGGCCCACAGCAGCACCAGAGGCTGGACCAGCTCTGCCCACTTCATCCCAGGCTTACCTGCAGGACTGTGACAGAATGAGTTCTTGTCATTTAAAGCCCCCAGTTCACAGTAGGTCTTTATGAGGCAGCCCCAGGACACTAACAGCTTGTTTACAGTCAGTTTGTCCATGGGGTTTCACTGGGTCATCACATCCTCTGAGGTCGTGGTGTATCTTGGGATGAAGTTATCTTCATGGGGCCTACTAGCAGGTTGTGACAGGCATCTTGCCTCTGATAGAGGGGGACAGGTCTCAGTCTTTCTTCCCCAGCATCCCCAATCTGTGTGTCTTTCAAATACACACACACTGTAGGTCCTCAGCCCTGGCCCTTCCAGCTGGCCCCTGTGGCCTCCTAAGGGGACAAACTAGGCCTCCTGGGTGAGACCTTGGGCAGAATGTCACCTCCCCGGAGATGTTCCTCTTCGAGGTGCCCCCTGGTCTGCTCCTTCAGGTGCCAGCAGGGATGAATCCCCTCTTCTCACAGCACCAGCTTAGCCAGCCCTCCCCTGAGCCCATCACATGTTGTGGCTCCGGCTGCTCTTTGGGCAGAGAGGATGTGATCTCCCTGCTCAGAGGGCAGAAGCGCTCCCCCCCAGAAGCCCTCAGGAAGAAGGTTCCAGCTGCCCTATACTAATTCCCCACTCCACTTGTTCCCCCAGCACAGTGTGGAGGCCAGCAAGACACCTCACAACTAAGGCACACACAGCCCCCCCAAGCCAAAGTGACGAATAAGGGGCCAGCTTTTGAGCTGAAGGCTGTACCTGCCCCAAGGAGACCAATGAGGGGCAGTGGGTGGGCCAGCACAGCTCCAAGATGCCCAGCATGAGCCAGACAGGTGCCTCTGCCAGCAGCTTCTGCAGAGTAGCTGCCCTGAGCAGTGTGGACACTGGTTGGCATATGGAACCTCTGGGCATTGCTTCCTCACAGTAGGGTCACCAGCAAAGCCCACTATGCTCTCCTCCCCACCCCCAGCCTGAGGGTCCTCATCATCTCCTGGGATGTCACTTCAAGGACAGGCTATACGGTTGTGTAGCTACCCCAGGGTGGGCATTTCCAGGACAGCCAGTGCCACTCAGCAGTGTGCACAGCCCCACAGAGTCACCCCAGCTTCCCTGTGAGTATCCACAAATAGGACCTTCCTGCCCTCTCACATAAGCACCCAGTGATGTCCAGACAAGCAGAAATTCCATGCTTTTGTGAGGATCAATGATAACGTATTTACCTAATCCAGGGGCTTAGATGTGCCTTCCCGGAGGACAAGGCTGTGTGTGTGTGTGTGTGTGTGTGTGTGTGTGTGCGCGCGCGCGACAGAGACACAGCTAGGGTGAGCCATCACAGTACAGGCCTGTGCTGGGCCCCAGCTCCGTAGGAGTCACAATGGGGAGGACAATCTGTGCTAAGTCTGCAGGTTCCCAGAGAACGGAAAACAGCTCCTGCTCTACCCTGCTCCCGCACCTGGCATGGTGATTCAGCCCAGAAGGACACCACTCTCCCTGGGGAGAGGTCAGGAGCATGTCAGGGCCTCCCTACTTCTCCTCAGCCTCCCACTGCCAGCTACCTAAGGATTTGGGAGAGGAAGAGACTTGGTTCCCTCCAAAGGCCTGTAGCCAAAGTGAAGCTTCGTGAAGCTTTGTGAAGCTGAGAAGGCTGGCAGGTTGATGCCACAGGACTGGTCCTTCCTTGTTCTGCCTGTGGCGGCCATCATGCCCATCACAGCCAGGCCTAAGGGATGGAGAGGAGAGCCTGACCCTGCTCCTGGTGCCTGCCTCTGTCTCTGAGCTTGTAGGATGGGGACCATGCGGCCCTGAGCCTCCAGGCTCTAGGGAAGATGCAGACACCCAGGTAAAATTGAGAACAGTGCCAGGCGCCGTGAGTGGTCAGTATGCATTGTCATCATTGTCTCGATTAACTATCATGTTCTGGACTCTGTAGGCTTTAAATTTCCCTTAAGCCCACCATCTGTAGGGAGTTATCCCACCCTCTTCCCAGGTAAGGAAACTGAGACTCAGAGGGAAGAGTCTCAGAGCAGAAACATTCAAAAGTCCACACCCCTGGGGCACAAAAGAAGGGGCAACAGCTGCTCCCCACTGCTACCCAGAATGACAAGACAAGCACCCATTGGGAGTCAAGGGTCTGGCCCGAGTCCACTGCACCCTTATTACTTGGGTCTCAGTTTTCTTATCTGTAAAATGGGGAGAAGTAGCTATTGCTGCCTCCAATGGCCTGGAGAGCACTAGTGAACCTATAGGGATGAGGGCACCTGGTGCCACACTAGGCCTGAGTCTCTCTCCCTAGTGGACCATGCCTGGCCAAAACTGGTCCTGCACGAACCGAAGCCCCACACAGGCATCCCTGAAGGCACCTCTTCTGGGATAAGTCTGTGTACTGCAGCCCCTCCCAGCAGGACACGAGGTACACCAGGAGGGGTAGGGGCTCCAAGGGTCCTCTTTGAGTCTAGGGGGTCGTCTGCATCATCAATCAAGGGCAGAGCATAACCTTGAAACCAGGCCCTAGGGTAGCCAATCCTTGGCACCTCAAAGGTTTGGAGGCTTCCTTTCTTGCTGTGCCGTGGTTTTCCCATCTATAAAATGAAGCTGATCATGACAGAATCAGCCCACAGTTCTGAATCAAGAGCACCTGCCATGAGAAGGTACCACAGCAGCTGCTACTAACCCCTTGGGAGGCACCAGGAGAAAATACACAGACTCAGGACAAGGAAGGGCCCTGGCAGCAGGGGCCTTGGGGGCCTCTATAATCCCACAGACTGATCACCAGAATGAAGGTGTGACCCCAGAGCACCATTTCCTGAGAAGGTCCCCCACCAGTAGCAGGGACACTTTGGGCCTGACCATTCTATCCTTAGGGTCATGCTGAGCATTGCAGAATGTTCAGCAGCAGCCTAGATCTCTGACCACTGAAAGCTAGCAGCACCCTCCCCTCATTGTGGCAGCCAACATTGTCTGCAGATGTGGCCCAGTGCCACATCAAGTCAGGAGGCAAAACCACCCCAGCAGAGAGCCGATGCTCTCGAGACTTGGATTGAAATAGTCCTGACTTTAAATTGTTCTCTGCTCACTTAGAGTAAGATCCTCCTTTTCTTCAAAGACACATTTAAAATCTCACTGATCACCGACACAGCTGCCTGGATTATAATGAATTCCAAACGGATGGGCTGGGCGGTGCATGCCCTCCTTCCTTGCATATCTGGCAGAGGGTGCTCATCCCTCACTCAGGCCACTTTGGAAGTCTGAAGGCTCACTGGGCATTCGTAGCTGTGCATGAGGTGGAAACTGTCTCACTATCGCCCTTTACGCACAAGAAAACCAAGGCACAGAGGGGTGTACAAACTTGTCCAAGGTCCAACAGCTGCCAGGTGGCAAGCCCAGTGAATCCCAAAGCTGATGCCATCAGCTCCCTGCTCTGTCCATCTTGGAGATGGTTTAACTCTCATTTCCTGTGCTGGTCGCCCAGCACACAGGCTATATCCATTGCCAGATGAGGAAGCTGAGGCCCACAGAGTTCCACAATGGAGCTGCTTTCTGGCAGCAGCAGGATTCACATCTACCTTCAGTCTTCCTGCTATGTCTCCAAAGCCAGCTGAGAAGCAGGAAAGGAACTTTCTAGGGGAGTCCAGCAACGGCTATGCACCTGACAGACACCTGCCACCTGCCACAGAGCCAGCAGGTGGCATGGGCCTTACTTCTCACATGACCACATAGTTGTTGCGGGGGGGTGGGGTGGGGTGGGGGGTGGGGTGGGGGTGTGGGGTGTCAAAACTGCAGACTCCATCCCCCAGCCCCACTGTGCTGTCTCCTCTGGGCCTTCCAGACTCAGCAAGTGTTCCTTTGACCACTGCCCTCCACGTATCCAGCCCCTACAGCCCGCATCTTTCCCCACTTTGGCCCCCGAGACCTCTGCCTCAGGGGATAGGGGCTTGTTTTCTTCCTCAATTCCCTCAGGTCTGGCCCAGGCAACCAGTGATTCAACAGGCTCCTGCAGCCACGCCCAGCTTTGTTGTAGGGGAGACCAGATCGCTGGCCCCCAACCCCCTATCCACTATACACACCCCCTGAAGAAGGCCGCAGGCATCGCACAGGCCTCGCGGAGGAGGTCCCACTATGGCCTTGAGCATCTTGTCAAAGCACTTCTGCATTCAAAGGCCTCGCCAGGTGACTCTAGGCTGGGGCAAGGTTAGCCCGGGCGTAAATTGAGAGCAGGTCTGGGTGGCCCCCTCTGACCTGGTTTTTCTGCACCCAAGTGGCAATCTCAGCTTGGCCGAGGTGAAGAGGGGAAGGAATTGGCTGGCTGGGGCAGAGCCCCTGCCTGCTGCTCCCCAAGGGTTCACTCCAACTCCAGGGGCTGGAAAGGAGCCTTGCTGGGCAGCTGAGCACCCCAGGCTCACCCCACATAGCATCCCTTAGACAGTAGCCCAAAGCCTTGCTTAAGCCTAATGCTGTCCCCTCAGGTTCTGCTTGGAAAAGACTCCCCACCTTCCCGCGTCCCACCTGCATCTGAGGAGTGATAGTTTGGGGGTGGGTGAGGAAGGGGCATCCCATATTCTGGCAAGAGTGGACTTGAGGTGTGTGTACAGTTGTGACCACTACACTGTCCAGCACCCCCTAAATGTGAGAACCCCAGAAGAAGACCCCTGCTCACCAGCAACTTTCTGATCCTCTGGCCACGCTCAGCGGTATCTGCGCCTCTGTCAGAGAGGCTTGTGAAGCTCAGGGTGCCAAGGATAGGGGCGCGGAAAGGCGGAGCTCTCCTGCGAAGGTGAGGAGGTGAGGGTGCGCAGTGGAGACCCCATGCCCGCTCCAGCGCGCGGATCCGCCCGGGTTTTACGGCTGCCGCGCCCTCCTCCCGCCCACCCGCCCGTCTCCTCCCTCCGCGCTCCCTCGCTCCGCCTAGGGTGGCTGGATCAGTCCTTCGGCATTTCCTGCAGCCAGGCCCGCGCCGCCAGCTGAATCCCGACGCCCGGCTCGGCCCGGCCTGGCCCGAAGCACCGAGGGAACGCGCGGCAGGGTAGGAGCGCAGCGGCCGGGGCGGGGAGGAACTGAGAAGGCCCGAGAGCTGTCGCCGAGCAGAGCAGAATCCAACTGGCAGCCGGGGGCTGGCTGTGGGAGTCTGGAGTTCTGCAGCAGACTCTGGGTCCTCCAGGCCTGGGCGCAGCCCCTCGAACCCTGACAGCGCCCTGCGGGGCGTCTGCTCACGGTGGTGACTCCGGGCGCTGGAGCGCTAGGCTGGCTGGTGGCGGGTGGGGCCGGTGTTCGAGCGACGCGCCCAGCCCTCTCTGTGCCTGGTGGGGCTTAAAGGAGCCGGGCCCAGGCGCGAGGGTGACTGCCACAGAGGCTGGGAGCGCAGGGGTCTGTACCCCAGCTCATCTCGCGGGGTGGAATTGCTTAGGAGATGCCCTCTAGATCCTGAGTGACATCCCAGCTCTAGGCTTGGGTCTGTCTGGGTCCACAGAGCCAGGGCTGCCTGGATGTGGGCTGCTTAGAAGACCTCTGCCCTCTGCCTCTGTCCACCCACAGCCTCTCTCTCCAGGCCCCTGACCCCTTAAAAGAAAAGAGGGAGCCTCAAGCATTGTGTGGGGGACTTGAGTCTCCAAGAGGGCCTTGTGCCCTTGAGGATTCGGGGGTAAGAGGGAGAGTCCTGCCTGGGGATCCTGGGGCCCACAGCCCCTCCCAGCCATAGCTCCAGTCTAAGCTTCCCAGGTACCCCCTCCCTCCAAGCCAGACAACTAGCTATTTTCTGTCTGCAACTGACTGAAGTTAGGGCCAGAGTGGCTCCTAGAGGTGTGGATTGACACCCCCCCCCCCGCCGCCGCCAGCCCACAGGGTGGGCTTCCCCACCCCTCACCAACCTTGGGCTGAGCTGGGCAGCCTGGCCTGACTGCAATTGATGGTTAGATTTCTCTTCTTTTGTCATCTCAGGGTTATTAACTTGGTACTGTCTTGTATTCCCAAGATTCAGTTTATACGTGTGTCTGCCTTTTGCCTGAGCCTCTGCAAGGCACCTTTCACAGGCAAGGGGAGGGGCAGGAGCATGGCCTCTAGGATGAACATTATTCTCTTGGGTCTGTCCACACCAGGGTGAATCTAGGTCCCAGATGAACAGGAACCTGCCCCTCCAAGAATAATAGGCTGAGTGCTGTCCTTGCCAAATTGGAACCCCGTTTCCTTATTGTGCAGGATCTTGGTGATCCTTGAACTTGAAGGGTTTGAGAATTCCCAAGAGAGCGTGGCTGGTGGCAGGCAAGTCAGGCTAAACCTGGAGATCAGGCAGTGGCATCTGCCAGCTTCCCTCAGGCTCCAGGCTCCCGTTGCAGATCCATTGTCTGTGCACGTGTGTGGGACAGGGTAGTGGGGCCTTTAACAAGGGGCCTGGGTGCCGGGAGGTGAGCCCCACATGTCTGTCTGGTCTGTCTCGCCCTGCTGTGTTTGGAGAAGGTGACAAAGCAGACCTGCTGGATGAGGATCCTCCGACCCACAGCCTTGGTCCTCATCTCAGGGAGACTGCTGTACTGGTGTTGAACCTCGGCTGCGCATGCTACATGTCAGAGGAAGGCTGGTCTGGTGGTCAGGAATAGGCCAAGTCCTTCAAAGGACTGGGCTCAGCTCTTTCAGATGCTGAATGGAACACCCATCCCCACCCCCTTCCTGGTTGTATTTACCATGCAGAGAAAGTCCAGAATCAATTTCTGTCCTGAAATCTAGGCTTCCTAGAAGCTTTCTGAGCTGCAGTAGTGATCTGACATGCTATGCTCAGGGAAGGGCAGAAACAGTCCGTGACAAGCCCGTGGTTTGAAGACTGCTGTGTGTCTGGCAGCTGTGTTTTGGGGACTTGTGCCCAGTGTGCACTCTGTGGTTCAGCTCCCATGTAAGTGCAAGCACGACACACCTTACAAACAGTGGAGAGCTTATTAAGGATAACAGATGCATGCCCCGCCCCAAGTCCGTGCATTGTTCTGGGGAAAGGTGAGTCTGAGCATGGGGCTGTAGCTGAGATATGAGTGGGTTGTCTCAGTGGGGCCCGAGCTAGTGGGCTGAAGAGGGCATGAGGCACCGGGGTTCATGGGGTGCGTGGAAGGTCATTTGGACATGAAGGGAACTGTCCCACTGAGGCAGATCTGGTCTGGGGTCCTGGGATCAGGTGGTAGAGCCACTGGGTGGCTACAGGGCTAACAGGGAGCTCAGGTGACCACCATCTTGTGTTGATGGTGCAGAAGGTCAGAGCTTCTGGCTGTCAGCCCACAGGCCTGCTGCCTGCCTGGGATGTCCACTTAGCACTGTGGCTGTCACATAGGAAGAGTATTCCCCTCAGTGGCAGATTTGCTGCATGACTTGTTGAATCTGCAGCTGAGGGAAAGAGAACTTAGAACCTGCAGGTGAGAGCCCTGGCTGCTCAGGCTCCCTCAGGTCTGTAGGTGGCAGCTGGACCATGGCTGGGTCACTTCTACCTTGCTGGCTGCTCATTTAGGGAGATGCAGTTATAGAGAGGAAAGTTTGGGGTGGGTCAAGCTTGAAAGCTTGGGGCTTTGGATCGAATTGTTCTCTAAGCATGGCAGTTTTTCCCGACTGGGTCCCTGGGAGCGTGTGTGGGTGAGAAGTTGTCTTGTGCTGGAGTCTAAGCTAAAGGGAGTGGGTACCAGCTGCGTCCTCCGGACTATGGCTTGGGGTGGGGGAGGGGGACAAAACCGTGACTCCAGCTCGGAGTTCCTTGTCCAGAGAGCTGGCAGGGGATCTACCTTCCAAAACAAGGAATATTGTAAAACCAAGTTGAGGTGCAGCCTGGAGCTGCTTCAGGTATCCCAAGGAACAGTACCTGCAGCCAGCAATCAGACCTGTGGGATGGGGCAAGGGATTCTGTAACCAGTATGAGAGGCCAGAGTATGGCCCCAGCCATCACAGCCTTACCAAGGACATCTAGATTATTGAAACAGTGTGACCAGGTCCCCACTGCTCAGGGCACCCGCCTTGTCGGCCAATGTAGAAGGATCTTGGGGTCTCAGCCTTTGCTGCAAGTCTCAGGGCCACCCAGGGTGAGAGCCAATGCTTTGCTTCCTCCAAAGCCAACTTCACATCTGCTCTTCCCTCCAGGCCCAGCCTCCCGGCCCTCTCAGTCACTCGCTTTTTCCTGGAGCACCACGTTTGCCAGCCCACAGGCTTCTCCTTCCTGCCCCACCCAGTCCTTCTCTAGCTGGCAGCTAGCATGGTCTTTAAAAATATAAACCACATCATGTACCTTGTCCCCTCAGAGCCCTTCACTGTGCTCCATGGGTCTCAGGTTAAGTCCATGGCCCACAAGCCCTAAATGCCCTGGTCCCTGCCTTTTTCTCTTACCCCAGCCCCACAAGGATCAAGCCTCAGGCCTGCTTTCCCTACCCCAGGGCCTTTGTACTTATAGATCCTCTGCTGGCAGCTAACTCACAGGTCTGCATGAGGTGGGCTCCCCTAAGTCAGGTCTCAACCCAGATGTCACTTGTCTGAGACACGTGTCTCTGTTCCTGTCATAAAGCATCCATTCTGAAGTAACTTGTATGGTTGTGTTTTGTTTTCCTAGCATCATTTGTCTGTATGTGAAATTAACTCGACTTGGTGTTTAATTGAATGTCTTAATATGAGGAAAGCAGTTGGGCCAGAGACAGCCTGCTAAGGGTCCTGTCACTGTCATTGTTCTCTGTTGCCCGAATGTTTGCTCCAGGCTCTGTCCCCAGGGCCTGGCACATAATTGGTGTTCCCTGGCCTGGTGACAGTGAAGGGAAAGCCCAGGAAGTCAGTGGCTGGGCCTTAGTGCCCAGCTGCTCTCTTCCACCTCATGTCCAGCTTCACCAGCTTTGAGAGGTAGGAGCAGGACCTGTCCTTCCCTCCCTTCCTGGGATGGAAGGATACACAGTGTGGCCCGCCCCGGGTGGTCACTTCTGAGTGGCCTGCAGAGGGACTAAGCTCGGAGAACACCCAGTACTTTATTAGGCTGTCACCTGTGACCCAGTTGATATGAAGCCAGACTCTGGAAAGCTAAGGCATGACCATGTTTATAAAGTTTAAATAGAAAGAGGGAGAAGGTTTGGGAGGCCCTGCCACTGCAGGCTGCTGGCCAGGCTGCCCCAGTGACCAGTGTTGGCCCACATCCCCTTGGTCCAGGGCTAGGGCAAGTCAGCCACACTATGCTGTCCCAGGGTAGACAGTGGCCCCTGGAAGGGAGGGAACTGTGACCCCAGGGCTCTGAGCAGAGCCCCACCTCCCCTGAGATCAGGTGGGAGTGGTACAGACAAAGTGTGCCTTTGTCTTTTTCCTCCTTGGCTGACAAGGTGACTGTTCTCAGAGGCTTCCTTTCAGGAACCCTCCTCCCCACTGTGCAGGGAGTGCATAGCCTTACAATCGAAGTGGGATTGATTTGCTCTCCTATTGGGGTGAATATGGCACCTGGAGAATAAGAGATACCATTTACAGGACCTGGTCTGAGGTGTGGTGTTGGTGAGAAGCATCTGCAGCTCTAACACCGTTCACTGGGCCCCTGCGGGACTCTTGCTGCCCAGCTATTAGGGTGAATATGACAGGCTCAATTAAAGGCCATGGGTCATTGCTTCCCATCCACTGGGTTGCAGCCCTGGCAGTGGGATTTCTGTACACACCTATTGGGGTGGATATGACCAGGAAGTTTAGATTTTAAAGGGCCCTAACACTCCAGGCAGTGTTCCCAGTTCTGCCAGCAGCTTCGGGACGCCTTGCATGGTTACTGTGAATGCAGCTTGGAGAACTGGGGCCACTTAGATGCAGGTCTTTCCTACAGATAGAAGTTCTCTG